GTGTCACTTCTGCGCTTTACATTTATACAAAAGTTTTTCAATTTATAAATAATAATTGACTAAGACTTATGATTATCGATTAGGAATGTAATAACTTTTTATATGACCAATTCGACCAATAACATTATTTTATATGCAAATGACCTACGTAAATGGGCTTAATGATCTTGATGATTTGGGTCATTTAAATTTCTATCAAACGACCGGATCATTTACCATTCCTGGGTTGGGTCGGGCATATAAATTTTATGAGCTTGGGCCCGAGTATGCAAATACCTAGCCTAACCCAGCCTGTTTCAAAATCTATAGACTAAATGGCCCTCAAATGACCCCAGTCATTTCTAAATGACCATGGTCATTTGTCACGAGTCATTTCCAAATGACCCAAAATGAGATGACCGATAATGACCGGTCATTTTGGGGTCATTTGATGTCATTTGAAAAATTTGCAAATGACCAGGTCATTTACCATCACTGTTTTAAAATAATCTCTATATAAAGAATCGTGGCTAATCTTATTTTTATATTCTATTCCGTTTATCACATAAACTACCTGAAATACCCTTTTATATTCAATACTGATTTCCTTGATCGGTAACCACAATTGATACATGTATTATAGTCTCAATAAAAGCTCAACATGTCTTCTTATTCATGTCTTTAATGGATTTTATTTGCAAAAGCTGTATTACAATTCTCGAATTGCATTGTTTGAAAATCTCATCACATTGTCAATTTTCTCACAAACTTGTAGATAAGGTATCCTTGTTTCATGAGTAAAAAAAAATAAAATATATGTTATATTCGAATTGTATAAATTATTAAGATTACTTGAATTAAATTGTTTTATTCTCATGATATTTTACTATTAACTTTATACTTTCAAAATAATTCTTTTAGTTTTTTCAACTGTTTAATAAGTTGAAAAGGTTTATAATTCTTAAGAACTGAAATAAATTTTATTAATAAATAACTATATTTTATTTTTTTTTATTTTTTTTAACAATTTAGCAATCTTGCCAATACTAATAACTATATTTTATATAAATTTATACAAGGTTAAAATTAATATATTTTTATAATTAGTTTTTTCAAACCATAATTACAAATTTATTTTAATTTATTCAAAAAAGTTAAAATTTTTAATTGCCTTTTTACAAAATATTTTAAAATAGGGAAATTCTAGGCATCTCTAGCTAGAGATGCCAGCTTATATATCTCTGGCCCCTTAACCAATCAACAAACAAGAAAATCACATGACTAAGACTTATGTGTATATCCGATTGCTGATGAAAGGTCGAACAAACTTACTCTGCATTGCCAAGATGCTGCTAGATAATTGACACAAGATTATCTTTGATCTTTTGTTTTTTTTTTCTTTTCACTGTATATATATACTAAAAAATTTTTTATTTAGCTCAATAGCTTGTTGCGCAGTTGGTGTTATTTTGTTGGTGCTGCAGTTGGTACAGCAGTTGTGTTGCTGTTGATAATTGTCATCATTAGGTGCTATTGGTTTGGTGCTACTTATATGTAGGTTTTGCTATTTTATAGGTTGGATTTTGTTGTTTGATTTTTAACTAATACCCACTTTTATTTACAGGTGTTTTGTTATCATCAATTTCAAACAGTCTGTTTTAGTGTAGGCGGGTTTTGTCTATAGGCTGAGTTTTGTTGCTTGAATTGTTTCAAATATCTTATGTTTTTTCTTTATTGGTGCATAATTAACACCCACTTTTCTTTGTAAGTATTCTACTATGTTGTTAGTGTTAATTTTATACTATCTTCTTTGGTGGTGGGTTTCATTGTTCTATGAGTTGAATTTTGTTGCTTGATTTGTTTCAAGTATTTTATGTTTTTTCTTTATTGGTGTATAATTAATACACACTTTTTTTGTAGGTGTTTTATTATATTATTGGTATTGATTTTATGCCATCTTCTTTGGTAGTAGGTTTTGTTATTCTATGGGTTAGATTTTGTTGCTTAATTTGTTTTAAGTATCTCATGTTTTTTCTTTATTGATGTATAATTAACACCCACTTTTCTTTGTAGGTGTTCTGCTATGTTGTTGGATTGATTTCATGCTGTCTTCTTTGGTAATAGGTTTCATTGTTCTATGGGTTGGGTTTTGTTGCTTGATTTGTTTCAAGTATCTTGTATTTTTCTTTATTAGTATATAATTAATATCTACTTTTCTTTGTAGATATTTTACTATGTCTTGGTGTTGATTTTATGCTGTCTTCTTTGGTGGTGGGTTTCGTTTTATGGGTTGGATTTTGTTGCTTGATTTGTTTCAAGTATCTCATGTTTTTTTCTTTATTAATGCATAATTATCATCCACTTTTCTTTGCAGGTGTTTTACTAAATTTTGGTTTTGATCTCATGCTGTCTTCTTTAAAAGTGCTGTGGAATTCGTAATTCTATGAGTTGTCTTTGAGTTATTTGAATGATTAAGTGCATTGTTGGTAATGGTTTTGCACCATTTTGTAACTATAGTTAGATTAATATAGATAGTTAAGGTTATAGTTAAATAGGTAAAAATAATGGTTAGATAATTAGAGTTAAATTAGCTACTTTGAATCTGTTTGTTGTACAATAGATAGAAATATTATTTCATATTACAATTTTATTAATAAAATAAAATTTATATTAATGTAATTATTATGTTATAATTATTTAGTAGAAATATACATGATTATGATTATATAATTTTGTTGTTTGATACAGAAACAGATAAATATATATAAGCTTAATTTAGAAAAATATTGGTATACAAATAAATATAGTATAACTATACATATCAATATGAGACTCATAAGATTTTTAAATATATAGTGTAAAATATTTCTTTAAAAAACTTATTATACCAATTTACTATAATTTTCTAATACTAACTCTAATGATACAAAATACTAAAATAAATATTAAATATAGAGGTATTTCACACTTATACTGGTTATTCTAATCTGTATAATTAGAAATATTCTTGTAATAATTATATAGACTAATGTGGATAAGTATATATTAAATATTTAGATCAATTAAACAAATAAATAATCACTAAACTTAGAGAATAATGGTGCTCTTAATGTGATTAGCTAGTTACTAAAATTGTGTATAATATACTGTAATTATTTTTTTTTTAATTATAAAGGTGTAGCACCCGCACTTGGACTTTATTAATACTTAAATAATTAACATATGATAGTGTCTATATATATACATATTATATCAAGTACTAAGACTAAGACATCAGGTAGTGTTCCGCAAAAAAGGATCTGAAAGGATCCGAATGGATCTGGTATTTTTAATGGGCATTCATGTAGCATTTCACTAAGGGTACCAGAACTGAAATTGTATGTATAATTAATATAGAAAATACACTATCGACGATAGACAATTTCAGTTCTGGTACCCTTAGTGAAATGCTATATGAACGCCCATTAAAAATACCGGATCCTTTTTTGCAGAACACTAACATCAGGTATACAAACTATTTATTTACGGCTAAAGCCCACCAGAGCTAATCATATTTCCACTACACAGCTAACTTAGATTTGTACATCCCTCCCCAACCACTAATTAGTATTCACATGTCCTCCATATTACCTATATTACTTACTCTTTCAACTCCCAAATTAGTGTGTGTTGCTTCAGGTAGGTGCTTGTTGCTTTTGGTTTGGTGTGTTTAACAGAGAATTACTCTCTTAGTTCCTACTGGCATACTTCTAGGAGTTTGTATCTTAAGCTATGTAGCTACCTCTACCAGCTTTGCCAGAGGTCTAGACACTTTTGCAGTAATGTGACATAGCATATAGAAAATGACCAATTGGAATTCATAAATTTTGATCATCTTGAATCAGTCTGACATCAAAACAAAACATGTGTGCAAGAAGAAAAAAAGTGAAAAAAGTGAAAATACTCGAAAACTAGTGTTTAAATTAGCTTTTAAACACTAACAAAAAGTGTTAAAAATGCAATTATATATATATTCTATAAAGCTCAAAACCCTAACACAAACCCTAACATGAACCCAAACCCAAAACCTAAACTAAAGCAAAAAAATATACTTCATCACATAATGGTCATGTTACTGCTAAAGTGTCTAGACCCAATTGGGTAAGTATCTCAAGCCGGTTCTACCCTAAAATCCTGAAAGACAGATTCCCAAAAAAGACATAATACTGAAAAAGTTAGCTAGCATTAGTTATAATGCTAGCCAATTTAGTTAGTATTTTGTCCTTTCAGGAAAATGGCTTTTAGATTTCAGAGTAGAACCCTCAAGCCTATATGCTGCCATAATTAGCTAGTTTCCTGCAACTTTGGAATCTAGGTCTTAATGTATCTATTTTGGTAAGGCCAATTTTTTATCACAGGTTCCTTTGTGTTTACCACATTTCTCACTACTTCTAATTCTGGTTACTACCTAGTCATTCTCTCAAACAAAATCTCCAATGCTGCTTTAGAAGTTGTTAGTACTATTTTGCCAATTATGGATTTACATGCACAACCTTTGTAATAGGACCTCTCATAATGACCCCTTGTTATACATAACACTAACTACTTTACAATGGACGTCCTTCTAGAAATTCCTGATTCAGTTCTATATTTACTTGGACTTTCCACAGTAAATACTTTCAAATATTTATAGGTAAACATACCTACTAAGACCTGTATCCAAAACCTGCTTGTGAAGAGTTGAGTATCTAGACCACTAGGCTGCGGGATCCCAACCAATATTGTGATTAATTAATTGATTATCTGTCACTCAATGGGTGCATAATCTTAGTATAATGTGATATAGTAACTATATAAATTTATTATAGAGTGAATGTAGCATTCGTCTAAGTAAAACTTTTTATACTAAGTTAATTAACAAAGTCGATTAATTGAAAGTTGTAGAGCTCATCTTTGTGGTTCTAATAGTGGTTAAATTATCTAAATCAGCCCAATAGATGCCAAGCTATCTTTAAAAAACGTGTCAATAACTATATAAAATCTTTATATAAAACAATGTATTGTTTATATAGTAAATTTTATATAGTAAAAGGTGTGGTGACTTAGTGTAGTGGTCTAGTCATTACTTTCTCCAAGTGGCAGATCTAGAGTTCAAATCCCACTAGTGATGATATTTGAAAAATAGGCCTGTATTTGGTAGACAGCTATACTTATCAGTTAGATCTAGAACTAAATTTGTAACTTCAATTACACTATCTAGTAATGGGAGCAATGGCATAATAAATCTAAGGAATTAGCATAACTAAAAACCCATTTGGGGAGTCCTGAGTTAGGAGTAACAGTGATCTTTGATGGTATCACAGAAGGGCTAAATTCGAATTGAGGCCCAAGATCAGAAAACCAAATGACTAGATCCTAATAGCAAAGGACATACTAGCTGAACCGCTGAATTCTGTTACATCAGTAGAAAAAGACATATACTTCGAAAGTATGTACTAAGGGGAAGGCATCCTTTAGGTATCTAAAGCCTAGACAGACTAACTTTTTTGAGTTGCTAGCTAGAAGTAAGAGAAAGACTGATAAAGAATCTGGGTAAGAAGACAGTCCAAATGCAGGTACTAGAGTTGTTGAAAATCTAATAAGAGCAAAAAGTAAGTAATAGATGACTAATTAGAAAAGTTGTGGCTTGAGATAACGGCAGCATTCTAAAAGGTAGTTTGAAATATGAATCTGGTAATAGCAGTATGGGTTCAATGATTAGCTCTGACCCCGAATGCATGGGTTAAGCTATAGCATAAAGTTACTGAAGTCTGGGTAAGGTACATGTCTGGAACATGTACCTTAGCGAAATGGTGAGCACAGTCATCTGTTGATCTAAAGAGAATTCTTTATGAAGTTAGGGGCCAAAGAGAAGGAAAACCTGTAGCTAGATAGTTACGCTTGGGCATCTTAAAGCAGCCAAGTGAAGCTTTGTTATAGTGGGTAGGAGTACAATAGTCTAAAAACTGCAACACCGCGGGGGAGAGACCCAGAATATATAGTAATATATATACTAGATTTGTACTACAAACTTTGTGTATTAACACTTAACTACCTAAGATGAATAAAGCAGCTACTGTTGAAAAAAAAATTTATATAGTTGTTAACATGTTTTTTAAAGATATATCAGCATCCACTAGGCTGATTTGGATGATTTAACCATCATTAGAATTGCAATTATGAGCTCTACAACTTTCAATTAATTGACTTTGTTGATTAACTTAGTACGAAAAAAGTTTACTTGAATGAATGTTAAAAATTTTCTATATTCACTCTATATTAGATTTATATAGTAATCTGTATTATGTTATACTATGATCATATATCTGTTGAGTGGCGGATCATCAATTAAAGCAATCCCTACTGTAATTTTGCTAAAGATTCATATTTCAAAATGTGGATAATAAATTTTAGCCAACTAGAACAAGTTTATAATAAAAAAAGATAGTTTCAACCTTTTTTCATTGAAATAATAAATCTACTTATCAATTAAACTACTTTTTACAAATTAGAAATTAAGCTTTGATCTATTAATTATATATTTGAGAGAATTTTAAATTAATACTTCTATTAATTTAAAAAAATTTTAAAAAAAATTATTAGCATAAAAAGTACAATTTCTGGAATGTTTTTAAATCAAGTAAAGAATGATCAGGTGGTTATGTAAATGTCTTTGCTAAAAGTTGGTGAAAAGTCAAAATGTTTATTAAAATAGATTTTAAAAAATTTAAGTGAAAATATTTCCATAACTACTTGATCAAATTCATTAAAAATTTTTCATCTAAATTCTATGAATTTATAGAATTAAAATAAAAAAAATTTATTGATCTTGGTTAAGTGGTTAAGGAGATACTTTTACTAAAAATTTAAGAAAAAGCAAAACACCTATTAAAATAAAGCTGTGCCAATTTTTTAAAACTTTGAGCAAATATATTTCCACAACCACTTGACCAAATTTGTTAAAAAATTTTTATTTAAATTCTATAGATTTATAGAATTCAAATAAAAAAATTTTTAACAAATTTAGTTAAGTGATTGTGAAGATATATTCGCTTAAAGTTTTTAAAATTTTATTTTTTTCTGTAAATCATTAGAAGAAACAGTCCAAGAGATTTAGATCCAGATTACATGAAGGCAATTGATCTGTCCAGTATTAACATAATCTTCAAAAATAGAGATCTCATAACCTTTTTATTTTAATTGGCTAAAAAGCCAAAGATATATAGTTATATATCTCTAGCTAGAGATGCCTAGAAGAACTCTTTAAAATATGAATTTTTAAGCTTTAATTATTTTCTTTAGAATATTT